GTGGAGGTGGGGGAAGGAGAAGAAGGCTGAGGAGGAGGAAGAGGAGGAGGGAAAGGACGAGGTGGAGGAGGAGGAGGAGAAGGTGGAGGTGGAGGTGGAGGTGGAGGTGGAGGTGGAGTCGGGGGAGAAGAGGGGAGGAGAAGGAGGCTGAGGAGGAAAAGGGGGAAGGGCGAGCAGAGGAAGAGGAACTTGACGGAACACGTTCCCATTCAATGTCTTGTGCGGATGACGAGGAGGAGAAGGGAGAGGAGAGGGAGGGGGACGACAGTAGGAGGAGTCGAACATAAAAGTTTTCGCGGATCTTTCGCTCTGGAAGCCTCTTGAGGGCATCTAAGGCCATCGTGGGGCCTTCTTTGGACCATTTCGAGAGCCTTCAGCGGCTCTGTTGGAGGCCACTGGGGCCATATATGAGGACATCGATCGAAGAAGGGGCGGGTACGAAATTAGCGTCGCCCCTCTTGGCCCCAAAGAGTCATCCCTTGGGGCCCTTATAGGAGCCGTCTCGGGCCTCGTCGGGCCTCCTCTTGGGGCTCTCTTGGGCGATCATTCGGCCATCATCAGGCCATCTCTCGGAGGCCCCTCGGAAGTGAAAGGCGAGAATGCAAAAACCATTGATCTCCCCGCGGTCTGAACGGATTTCGGCCTCTCGGGGGCGTCCTTGGGCGGCCCCCTTGGCAGATGGAACCGTCTTGGTGCGGTCCTGGCGCCTCTTGAAGGTCATCATCGTCAGAGTCCTCTCCTCCATCTCTGCCACCAACTCTCTATCTCTCCGTCCGCCCCTGCCTCGCTGATCCATCTCCTCCTCCTTCCCTCCTCGCTGCTCCTGCTCTGTGCCCCTCCCCCATCTATATCTCTGCTCCTGTCCGCGTCGCCATCCTCTACCCGGTCTCCGTCCGCGCAGCGGCCCCCTTGCCAGAACCATGCCGACATCGTCTCACTTCGTCTCCACTCCCTGTGGCTCCCACCAGGGAGCTGGACACACAAGACGCGGGCTGCCCAGAGCGAGGGCTGAATACGCGTGCGACCTCATGTGCTTCCAACGGTTGGCCCCCGTGCGGCCCAGTACGCCGACCGTCCGTACGCGCATCCGAGTACCCAGCTCGTACCATCAGCACGTTCAGCATGTGAATCTAGCCGTGTTTGTGTTCCAGCCATGCGACGTCTTGATGTATTGCATCCGGGGCCCCCGGAAGTGCCCCGACCCCTTCTTCAGGGCTGGCGTTTGCTCCCGACCTGTCTTCTGACGGTCCTGTGGCCCAGCGAATGCCCCCGAGTGGCTCAAAACGGCAAAGGATCGCGCTGCGGTTTCTTCACGACGCGAGGGGGGTCTGGGCCAGTCACAGCCCACCGAACCACCCCAACCCAACCCGAAGGCCCCGATCTCCCCTTTATTTCTAGTGGGGAGGGGTCGGGGAACATTGAAAAAACACATGCATCCCAGTACCCCCCCCCAACCCGAAATTCGGGCGAGATTCAGGTCTCCGGGTTGGGTTGGGGTGGCTCGGTAGGTAGTCAGCCAGGACCTCCACGAGCGCCACAAGGATCCCTTCCCAGAGGGCCAGGAGGCGGCATACCGGCGGCTCCACGAGGAGGCGAGCGGCGAGAACGGGTTGCTCAGCATGGACGGGCTCGAGGAGGCGCGGGGGCCGCCATGCCCAGGGAGAGCCACGGGGAGCGAGCGAGGAGGTGGAGGGCACCCTCGGGTCCGGGGGGAGGCGGACCAGTTATCCATCCCATCATCATAGGGGGATGCGAAGCCCCTGTGAGTGGGACGGGGTGGGCACAGAGGGGCCATCGTAGGCACCTCGCACCCAGTTCGAGACCATCAGAAAGGCTCGTTGCGGGAGGAAGGTCATCACGGGCCTTCGACCTCAACATCTTCTTGAACACGGTTCGGGGCCGGATTCGCATCATAGCGGTCTTCGAGGTGGGCATCATAGCCGCCTCACCATGGCCAATCAGTTCATGTTGTTTTGTCATTGAGTTCAGCACATGCGTAGCATGCCCCTGGGAGTTGACGGCCGACGATGTAAGAAAGTCGTGACGTCGTGGGTCTGGGGAGCGAGCGAGGAGGTGGAGGAACCTCTGGTTCTGGCATCGCATGTTTGTTCGCAACGGGCGATCGTGCCTCACTTCGGGCCTTGGGGCCCTCACAGATCGATGCGGCTCGAAACGTGCCGCAGGAAGGTGAATTGTTGGGCTCCGGTCGCAATTGTGTTGCATTTTGTCGCAGCGTCGGATCTCAGGGGAAGAAGAAAGGTAGTTCTTGGGCAGGTTCAGGTAGCACTTCCTTGCCGATGTGCGGTGCTCCAGTCTCAACCGTGGCGTGCGTTTCGTGGCACCAACAGTTTCTCTTGCAACATCGCCAGGCCCCCCAGCGCGGCGGCGAGCCCGGAGGGGAAGTGAGAGGAAGCGGGCCTTCTCAGAAGGCGGCGGGACTTCTCAGAAGCCCTCTCGCCTGATAGGAAGTCTGCTAAGCCTTCTCCGAAGGCGGAGGCGGCCTCTCAGAGGGCGCGAGGGCTTCTGAGAAGCCCCGCCGCATTCTGAGAGGGCCTGCCCCCTCTCACTTCCGCCTTGGGTTCGCCGCAGATACGCTACGCTTGACAACACCACCATTGCGCCTGGCAACACCACCACGACCACCAGTCATCACCTGCTCCCGCCTGCTCGGGCACTAGCGGCATGGACAACCACACCGACGATAACAGTTGCAAAAAAGGCCACCAGTCACTGTCGGGAAGTGCCAGTCACAGCAGGAACATCAATGATGTTTCTTCCTGTTGTGGCTGGGCGAGTAGCAGATTGCGCCCGAGGGGGTTATCACATGTTGGCCGCCGAGCACTGACTGCACGCCACATGAGTACTTAAAGCAACTGTGCTTAACGGACTTACCCACCCATGTACTCACCAGTTCGTAACGGGAGGTTAGCTTCTCATGAGTTGCTAGAGAAAAAGGTCAGCAAGCAGAACAACCCAATACCAAGACACGTTTGCCTAACATGACGCTAGCTAGGCAAAACAGGAGAGGATGAAAATTCCGTTCGGGTCACTCGTCTGAGCACCCGTCGTGAAAGTGTCTGAGGCCGTGTTAGAGGGGCCAGAACGCCAAGATCCTTCAAGATGAATGGAAAAACCATTGAAAGTATCATTGCTTGGGCCAGTTTGCAGGCCTCGTGGGCGGTCTGGAAACCGTCAAGGCGCGATGGACAGAGCGTTCGGCGATTCGGGGCCTTCTTGGAAGATCTTGAAGACCTCTTGGGGGTACTTTTGGCGCTTGTTCGGTTCTTGGGTTCTAGGACCCCCCGGGGGGGGCGTCGTATCGGACCCTTCCCCCCCTCCCCGGGACCCCCACCCTCTCCCGGCGGGGGGAGGATCAAAGGGAAGGGGTTTCCCTTCGACTCAAAAACGAAGTTGCTCAATGTCGTTTAGGCTGGCGCGCTGGAGCGCGCCGGAGGAGGAGGGCCGAGGGAAAGGGGGGAAGCGGCGACGGGCCCATGGAAACTGAGACGAATCGAAAGGACAAACCCCACACACACACACACACACACACACACACACACACACACACACACACACGCCGACCGGGTCGGCGGATTCCTGCGGTCTGTTCTCGTGGACGGGGCGAAGTCGCGACGCCCGGACGGCCTGACGCCTTCTTCGTGGCGCTCGCAGGGCGGGACCCTCAGGCACCACCCAGGCCACCTGGGGCCTGGCGGCCGCGGTATGGTGGGTGGGCGAGGCGAGGCGAGGCGGCGTCCCCAGACACGCGTGGGTCCCGGCGGCCGCGGTACGCTGGGCGGGCGAGGCAGGCCGGGGGCTCTCATCTTGATGTCTGACCTCCCCGGCCTGTCGGGTGGGGAAGCGACGAGAAGGGGAGAACAACAACAAGACAACAAAACGAGTCTTCGATCCTCGGGGCTCCTCTCCTCTCCGAATGCCGAAGTCGTGACCTGGTTCAGCACGGCAGACCTCAGTGTCTTGACCCCATCGCCAGGGCTGGGACTTCATTGAAAGTGCTTTTTATGATGGCCCACGAGCGCAGAAACGGGGTCCAGAGGCAGCAACATGTGAAAAGCGTCGTCCTTAAGTGTCCAAGACGTTGGAGGCCTGGGCCCGTGGTCAAAAATCAGCCCCCAGACTTGTCCAGGAATACGCTCTGGCCAGAGCTTATGAGGCGGGTCCAGCCATGGCTTCGAGAGCGCCCCAGCAGGCTCAAAAAGACCAAAGGGTATCCAACATATTCAAACCTCGATCATCAAACTGCCTGCTTCTTCTTCTTCTTCTTCCTCCTCCTCCTCCTCCTCTTCCTCGCCATGGTTGTTCCTTCGTCCTCCTCCCCCGTCCTCCCCCTCATCATCCTCCTCCTCCCTCCTCATCTCTCCATCTCCCTCTTCCTTCTTCATTGCCTCTCCTCGTTATCCTCCATCCGTCTCATTACCTGTGGTGGTAGTGATAGTAGGTTGCGGCTTGAGATAGATCAGATCCGATCGACCTCCCTCCTCGCCCTCATCCTCCCTCCCTCCCTCCGTGTATCCATCCTCATCCTTCTCCTTCTCCTCCTCCTTCTCCTCCTTCTGCTTCTGCTTCGCCTCCTCCTCCTCCTCCACCTCCTCCTCCACCTCCTCCTTCTGCGAGGCCCACTAGAGATCTCGACCGCTTTCCTTGCGACAGCTTATCGTCCTCGACCCATTTGTGATGGTCCTAGGGCCTTGAAGCAGACCGAAATCTGGTGAAAAAACGCTGGGACTGGAAAGCAGATCAAGCACATCGATGAAAGACACCCGAATCGAGGAAGAGTTCAACCTGTCCTTCCTCCCTCTTCCTTCTGCTCATCCCCCTTCCCCTCCGTAGCCATTCTGGCTCAAGCGCGCGTGTGACCGCCAAAGCGCGCCGCCGAGCCAGGCAGCGGTGCCATGCAGAGCAGCGCCCCTGCAGAGTGAGGCCCAGCAGCGCATCCGCTCGCACGACCAGTCTCAGCGTGGTGCGCGGCGTAAGCAGCGATGGCCACCGCCGGCGCCGAGGGCCCCGAAGGTGGAGAGGCACGTGGTGGGCGCCGGCACCGTACCAGCGACAGCGTGGCGTCGATGACATCGGTGATCAGATGAGGGTCAGTTGAGACGGCGGTAGTTGACCTTTGGGGAGGCCCCTCGTCGCCACGGCTGGACGCAGCTCGGAAATCTGGTGTGGCTGGACCTTGGGAGGAGTCCTGGGACCGATTTTGAGCTAACGTTGTCTCAAGTCGCCCTGCTGCAAGGCGAGCACCATGCGGTCGGGCGCGGGCACGAGCTCCACCGACACGATGCAGATGGTCCGGCTGCGCTCCGCGAAGTCGAGAGTGTCCGCCGAGTCCGCCGGGGAGCGGATCCCAGAGACGGAGGCCATCATTGGCGAAGCATCAGGCTTCAGTCCGACGCTCAGGACGGAAAATACCTTGGACAGCCTTCCCGCGCTCAGCACGAGCGTGACGCCGAAGAGGCTGACGAACGACGAGGTGATCGGCAACAACACCGCCAGCGCGCTGAAGGCGAGGCACTTGCAGCGGAGCAAGTCGATCTTCGTGGGGAGCTACGACTGCGCGACCCCAGACGACCATCTCCTCTTCTCGAGGGCCATCGGCCTGCAGGATGACGCCACATCACCCACGTCCATGAACGGCAGGGGAAGCCTGCTATCCTCGGACTCCTCGCGGAACACGCCGACCAAGCAGAGGCAGTCCGACCTGTGCCGGCCCCAGGGCGCGCTGGGCCCCAGGCCGCGGAGGCGGAGCGACGAGAACCTCCAGCTGCGTCCCAGCCGCCTGTCTGTCAGCAGCCTCTCGTCCGACGGTTCGGTCGGCAGGCTGAACAACCCGGACAATTGGGGCTCCACTAATTCTCAAGACGTTGACTCGTGCACCGTCGCTGGCTTCTTCCGGCCACTCACGTCCTCGAGGGCCATCAAGAAGCAGCACCTCGACTTCGGGCGGATCGCGAGCCAGATCTTCACGCTGACGAGGGACGGCGCCGCCGGGCTCGACGCCGCCGCCGTGGAGCAGCGGACCAGGTGGAACTGCAGCCACCGCTGCGCGTGCTGCAGGCGTTGTCCGGGGCGCGCGCGCTGCGGGTCTTGGTGGAATCGCTTGCAGATGGTCTGCAGGAAGCGGCGCGGCGAGCACAAGGGTGGCAGCGCGAGAGCGGGGGCCTTCTAAGGAGGCGGAGGGCTTTTTTAGAAGGCCCCGGAGGCTTCCGAGAAGGCGTCTCAGAAGCCGGGATGGTTTCTGCAAAAGCCCTTGCCTGCTCAGAAGTCCGCCAACCGTTTTGTGGAAGACCGCCCCCCTCGCGCCACCCCCTTGCGCGCGCCACCCGAGGAAGCTCGGAGGCAGCGGGTTGTTCACAGCGTTTTTCTTGGCACTGACGATCTATGTGTTGTTCGGCCCAGACATTCTGGATCTCGTCCGCCAGAAGTACCTCGACTACCCGTTCCTAGTGATAAACACTGTGGTGTTCGCCCTCTTCTCGTTCGAGCTCATCGTGCTCATCGTGGGGAACAGCAGCTATGGGACGTCGGCCTTCGTCGTCCTCGACATCGTCTGCCTGGCCAGCCTGGTGACGGACACCCTGCTGGTAAATGGATACGACCTCGGAGTCCTGCTGAGCGAGGACAACGCGCGCCTTTCGCGCGTGGCCCGGTCCTCCAGGATAGGGCGACGAGACCTATACACATATCCACCGCCCTGGCCAGGCCCATCCTGGTCCATGGAGCGGTGCAGACACCCCATGGCATGACAAGTGAGGCATAATTGTACACGGATCCCAGGCCCAGAAAGGACCTAGCCAGGGGCGATGGATACGTATAGATCTCGTCGCTCTCAGGACAGTCCGCTTGGTCCGGCTGGTGCGGCTGGCAAGGGTCGCCCGCATGTTGCCGAAGCTTCTCACATTCCTGAGGACGCAGAACCACCAGCTCGGCCAGCAGGTGCTGTTGCGGAGGCTGTGGCGGGGCTTCTTCGTGCTGGACGGCGACAAGGATCGGAGGTGAATTGACCTCCCACCCTGACACGTCGATTAAGGAATTGGCCGTTTTCGGTTCGCGAGAGGGCGTCGCAGCCGTCATTTTGCGGGTCCAGGTCCGTCGGCTTCGGTCGCAGGCCGCTTCCACTAAGGGGAGGTCTACTAAAGGGAGGTTTGTCCACCGCCGAAAGGACGGGTTCATCTCCGAGTTCGACCTGAAGGTGTTCTACCTGATCGTCCTGCGGGAGTGCCCGGACATGTGCCGGCACACGGCGGCCCAGCTGCTGAGCTTCGACAAGGATCGGGGGGCCCACGGGCGGTGCAGCGACCGCTCCGACGTGCTGAGTCGGTGGGGAGTCGGGGTTCCTCCTCCTCCCCCTCCTCCTCCTCCTCCTCCTCCTCCTCCTCCTTCCTCCTCCTTCCTCCTCCTCCTCCTTCTCCTCCTGCTCCTCCTCCTCCTCCTCCTCCTGGCCGCACGATTCTGGGACTTGCGTCGTTCCTCCAGGACGTCTCGGGCGGCGGGGTCCTCCAGGGTCCCAAAGCCATGAGGTGCGGTCGTTGGGGAGTCCACTGTCGCCGCGCAATCTGCCGCCGCAGCGTCTGGGGACCCCCAAGAAAGGCGTACATCGAGAGGAGCGTCTCCTCGGACCCCGACGCGCAGGAGGACGGCACCGAGGGCGCGCTGGACTTCCAGAAGTTCAGTCAGATCATGCTGAACACGCGCCTGGGCAAGGATCTCAGGAGGGGAAAAAAAAACACGGACACAATTAATCGTCGATCCCCAGGAAAATATGAGAAAATATGGGAAGTCGGGGGGAAGACGAAAAACCAGAAAATATGGGAAAATATGGGGAATCCTTTTATTTGTGTGTGTGTGTTTATTTGTGTGTCCCAGGGCCCCTTCAGGATCTCGTGAACCACCACATCGAGGACCTGGAAATGGGGGAGGGCGTGTGGTCATTGACGCAGAAGCTGAGTGACAAGACCGCCATGAAGGTCTGCGCCTGCGTGCTCTGCCTCCTGATCACGGTTTCCCTGCTGGAGATCGACGCGGTGGACGCGGGGCCCCTTGTCGGGCTGGCGCAGCTCGACCATATAGTCAGGTCGGAGGCGCTGCTCGGCGCCCTCAACTTTGACTACCTGTGCAACCAGATCAGCCCCTTCTGGGACAGGACCAGCGTACTCTTCCTGCACCTCGACGGCATGTCCTTCGAGAGCGGCTGCTGCGACTCCTGCTACACCAACGCAACGGCTAACGCGGCGATCGATATGATGAATGAGAAGATCAGGACCTCGCGTATCCGGCCCACAGACATGGATTCCATCTGCTTGGTCGGCGGCACGGCCGACCTCTGCTCGGCGACGGACCTTGGCAGGGTAAGGAGCCTTGCGCTGCTGGACATGTCGAGCCGGGTGCACGAGGACGCCGTGTGGTCCATCGTCACGACGATAACCATGCTCTTTTTGTTGTTGTGTTTCGTCTTCATCCTGAATCGGAAGATCACGAGCTTCACCAGGACGATCCTTCAGCCGCTGCGGTGGCTGGTGGACGACATGCAGGCCCTGTCGTCCTTGGAGCTCCTGACAATGGACAAGGACATGCCTGGTGGGGTGGTCGTCAAGACGGTGGAGGAGCTCAGCCATCTGCAGTCTGCCTTCCAGTCGATGCAAGGCGCCATTCGCGGCTGGTCCATGTTCGTGCCCCCAATGGTAGTGCAGCGGCTCTTCAGCTCGGGAATCGAGGCGGGCATCGGCGTCAACAAGTGTCACGTTACCATTCTGTTTTGCGACGTCGTGAAGTTTGACGAGATGTGCATCGGCCTCGAGCCGAACGAGATCATCGATCTGTTGTCGACGGTCGGGAACTTCATCGCCGAGGCGATCCAGCAGAAGGCCGGCACGCTGCTGGAGTTTATCGGCGACGAGACTGTGTCGGTGTTCAACGTGCCCAACCACGTCAAACATCACTACGTGGCGGGGCTGGAGGCCGCGAGGGAGATCCACAGGGTGATAGACAGCCATAACCCGTTCATCTCGCATGAGGGAAAGGAACTGGAGATCAAGTGCCGTTGCGGAGTTCACACGGCCCGCATGTTGGCCGGCAACATCGGCTCGCCGCAGCGTATCAAGTACGGATTGCTCGGGGATGGCATCAACCTTGCCGCCCGCCTCAAGGGCCTCAACTCGCGCTATGGTACCAGGACGCTCGTCAGCGACAGCACACTGCAGGCGCTAAAGATGGTGAGGCATTCAATGCACTACCGCCCGGTCGACGTTGTGGCCGTGAAAGGGAAGGTACAGGGCACGCCTGTCTACGAGGCCTTACCGCTTTATGCAAACGAGGACAACAAGAAGTTGCTGGCATGCGAGAATCACCAGAAGGCTTTCGAGCTGTACCAGCAGCGGCAGTTCCACGACGCCGCAGAGCTTTTCCAGGAAGTCGAGAACACCTTCGTCGCATCTGGCTGCACTAAGGACGTCGCCAGCCGCATTCTCCGCAAGCGATGCCTGGCGTACATGAAAGACCCACCGCCAGAGGATTGGGATGGAGTGGATCGGCTCAAGATGAAGACGTTCGATGTGGACGACGACGATGACGAGGCGCCAGCGCCGCCGCAGGAGGGCGGCGGGGCGGATGCGGCGGCCAACGCGAGCGGGATCGTCGAGATAGACTCGTCGCGGAGCGACGTGATGCGGAGCATGTGGTGCTGGGGCTACTAGCCGCCCCCATGGCGGCGCTCAACACTGGCGTGATTGTTGACGCGATGCGCAGCACATGGTGTTGCACCTACCAGCCGCCCTCGTGGCGGCGGCGGCGCCAGGCCCCGCGCCGTGCGGCCCGAGTGTAATCGGGCAGGCGGCCCGTCAGGGGTATCGCCCGAGCAGCACTGCCCCCTTCTCCTCTGTTGCCGCCGCCGCTTCCTGGGGGCCCTCCCTCCCTCCGCCGTCCTGACCCAGCCTGACACCTTTCTGACAATGCCTGTCTCCGACACACTGGAGAGCCGAAAGCATCTCTTCGTCCGTCAACTCACTCGCCGTCTTGCCTGCTGAGCTGCAGCCCGCCCTGAGACCTCCAGCTATTGATGCCCAGCTCCTCCCCCTCCTCATCCTCCTGCTCCTCCTCTCCTGCTCCTCCTCATCCTCCTCCTCCTCCTACTCCTACTCCTACTCCTACTCCTCCACCTCCTCCTCCTCCTCCTCCTCCTCCTCCTCCTCATCCTCTTCGTCCTCCTCCTCCTCCTTCTCCTTCCTCCCCCCCCCGCATGGGGAACGCTGTGCCTCTTCCTCCCCCCGCATCCAAGAACAGCGTAGACGAATCGGCCTGCAGGCTGCGCTTGCGGATCCTCCAGCTTCCTTGACGCGACCCCATCCTGGCAGCTTTCCCTTGCGATTTGTTTGAGAAAAGCCCTCCTCCCGCAGGTCTCCACCCTGCACTTCGAGGCGATCAAGCCCTCCGTGCTGTGCGAGGCCGCGTCCGGCGCCTAGGGAGGCCCCTGCACTCGAGAGGCTTGCCCCATGTTCGAGGCCGAGGCCGCGGAGCGCCGCAGACGACGACGGCAACGATCGGGGCTCGGCGCTACAGGGCCTCAGGGCCAACGCTACGGGGGACAGGCTCCGTGGGGGGACGCATCGACCCCCAATCGCCCAATCATCGCTCCGATAGCCCACCCGCTCAGGACAGTGCGGATTCGCTGTCGGGGCTCGCCGACCTATGGGCGATGGATTGCCGGTCCCAGGTCGACGTTTCCCCCCCGTCAGCCAGTCCCCCCGATCATCCCCCTTCTCGGCGGCGAGCGAGGAGGGGAGGTGAGAAGGAGAAGGCCCTCTCAGAAGCCCTGGCGCCTTCTGAACGGTTTTCTGTGTCTTCGGGGAAGGCTTCGAAACCTTCTCAGGAGGCCAGTGAATCTCCGAGCCTTCTGAGAAGGCACTCCTTCAGCCGATGTGTCGTGCAGACACGGTGTCATTGATTGATTAATTGATTGAGAAGGCCCGCCCCTTCTCACTTTCCCATCCGGGCTCGCCGCCGACCTGAAGGATCGAGATCTGCGGCCGCTCTTGTTGCTCTTCTGGGCCCCCCCGGGAGGCCCCTCGTCGCCACGGCGAGCATCCCCTCGGCGAGCACCCCAGGAAGAGGTCTGCGTCCCAAATTTTGACGGCGGCGGCGACGACGATGAGAGCGAGGACGACAGCAGCGGCGAGGATCGAGGATCTAGTATCAAGGTCTCTTTGCGTTTTCGATCCTTCGTGATCCTCTGGCCTCTGGAGATCTCCGGAGACCCCCCGAGACTCGGACCGACGACGACGTCGTCGCCGTGGTCTCAGAGGTCTTCGGTTGTCTCTGGGGGTTCTAGTCGCCACGGCCAGGCACGGCTTGGAAAACTGGCCAGGGTGGACCCCAGTAGGGGTTCGGGGTGGATCCTGCACGGAGGTCAGTCGAACGACGACGACTGAGACGTTGCCTGGATCTGGCGGACGTTTCCCACTGCTCTTCGAGAGCCTCCCAAGGTGGGGTTCTCGGATGGCCGTTCTTTTTCCTCTTCGTTTTTGTTTCTGCTCCTCTTTAGTCAAACTGTGTGGGGGGGGGGATGGGAAGGCACACGCATGGCAAATATTTGCTCCACGGCCGTGCCACCTGTGGAAAACTGTGCGTACGCATTGAAAAAAGGATTCTCCGTGGGTGTCCTTGCAAAGCACCTCGCACTTCTAAGTTGCCGCGCTATTGAGATGCGGTTGGAATATCAAATCGGCTACGCGCTGGACCAGTCCTGTTGGCGCCAACGCCCACATTTGTCAGACCTCCCTCGTATTGCTGACGGGGATCAGGTTTTGGCAAACAGCACGCCTGGCCCACTCCGCCCACCCGCCCCACAAAGTATTTTCAGGACAGCAGTGCTAATGACTGGGGCTGTGTACACAGCGAACGCCGCGCGCTGTAAGTGCTCGGTGAGGAGAGGAGGAGGAGGAGGAGGAGGAGGAGGAGGAGGAGGAGGACGATGAGGACGAGGAGAACGAGGAGGAGGAGGACGACGAGGACGAGCACGAGGACGAGAAAGATGAGAAGGGACAACGACCTCGACAACGACGGGCAGGACGAGGAGGACGGAGAACCAGGACCAGCATCGAGGGAGAGCGAGGAGGAGGAAGGCAAAAGCAAGGAGTAGGAACCTAGACCAGTAGGTGGGAAGGGGAGAACGAGGATGGAGTGGTGGGGACAAGGAGGAGGGACGAGGTGGAGGAGGGGCACGGGAGTCTCAGGTCTGTTAGCTCCGGCGTGTTACGGCGACTCGAGATAGGTGAGGTGGTGCGGCAGTTGTCGAAGCCAGAGAAGGTGGACGGTGGCCCATTAGGAGCCACATCTTCCTCCCTTTCTCCCCCCCTCCTCGTTCTCCTCGTCGTCGACCTGCTGCTCATCTTCGTCCGTAACCTCTCGCTCCTGCCGTTCGCGTCCCTGTTTCCTCCATATCATTCATCTGCTCCTGTTCCTCGTCATCATCTCTGCTCCTCCATTCCCCTGTCCGCCTCCTCCTCATCCTCCTTGTATTTAAACAAGTCAATCACGTTCTCTACTTCCTCCTCGTTCTCATTGATCCTGCTACTAGTGTATTAGTAGTACATCGGCAACTACTACATGCCTCCTCCACCCGCTCCTGCTCATCCCATTCTCCCTTTCTCATCTCCCGTTCCCACACATCCCTCCTTCCCTCCATCTTTCCCCTCTTCATCCACCCCTTCCTCTGTCATACGCCCTCCCCCTCCTCTTGCCACCCCCTCATCACATCACCATGCCCCTGAAGCTCCACAGAGGGCATGGGGTGGTCCAGGTCGGCCTAAGAGTTGCCTAAAAGCAAGCCACCAGGGATCAAGACAGACCAAGGCAGTCCGAAGATGGTTTCTTCCTCGTCCGCCTCATCCTCCATATTCCCTCCTCCCCCTGCCTCCTAAATCCTCTCCCCTTCCCGCCTCTAGCTTTGCCCCTCCCCCTCCCTCATGCTTTCCTCTCCCCCCTCCCGCATACATCCTCCATCTTCCCTTTTCCCCCCCCCCGCTCCCACCCAGTCATCCTCCTCCTCCTCCTCCTCCTCCTCCTCCTCCATCTCCTTCTCAGTTGTCATAGACCCTCGTTGCCCTCCCGCTGCCCCATCGCACTGCGACCGGCGGCTCCAGGATCGGGCATATTGCGCATACGGTGCCGAGCGGTCAAGGACAAGGCTGAGGGCTGGGTCTCGATCGAGAGCGACAAGGGCACGGTGTTTCTCAAGCCTTGCTCGAAGTATTATGTGTGCTCCAAGCCTCTCCTGATGAAGAGCGGCGAAGAGGCGAGCTGTCCCATAGTCAGGAGTCTGGTCGTCGGCGACGTAATCGAGATAATGGAGTACCCCGCCAACACCGTCAAGGTGGAGCAGGTAAGAGCTCGATTCGTAGGAGATCGTTTTTGCTCGTGTCCTTTGCTCGCGAGGGCTGCTGTCCGTTTGGGAGATGCCTAATCAAAGGCGGGGCAAGGCTCGTCGCACATTTAGATACGATTGTATGTGTATATATATACATATATATACACATATATATATATACATATATATACGTGTGTGTGTGTGTATTGTTGGCCGATGTCCCCAAGCTGGCGGTCGCAACTATGTGGGGGTCGACTTGTTGTCGCATGATGAAGTCTTACGCCCCGCCCGACACCGCACAGAGACGAAGACAAGGCGTTGCAGCGGTGGCGTGGACCGGCGACCGCCGCCCAGGATATCGTTCTCGCCTACTCTCCCGCTCTCCCGCTCACCCGCCCTCCCGCTCTCCTGCTCCCCATTCTCTCCCGCTCTCTCGCTGCCTCGGCTTCAACGCTTCGAATTGTCGTCGTCCGATGCTTTCCACGCACCGCATTCGAACGAAGAGTAGTATTGAGGTTGATCTGAGGCGGGATACCATACAGTATTGCGAAACGAATACATACATAACTATGGATACATGCATAGACAAAAACAGCGAGAAGCTTGAGGTAACGAGATGCATGAAGAATAAGAGATCCAGATTCAGTTTAGTCGGGTAAGGGGTGATACACATACATACACATGTACAACCTATGTTATGTGCGGCACGCCTCGCTGTATTGGCATACCCCAGTGTGCTCGAGTGCGAATACGCATATCAAAAGATGGCCGTACATGTGTTCAAAAGCATGTCGAAGCACATACACATATAGCTACATACATACACCAAGTGTGCCGAGCTGGAGCTATATCTACATATCTATATATATATATATATGTGTAAATAAATAGGCTTGTGGTTGTGGAGAGGTGAAATTGAGTTATTTAAGCCATGAAAAATTAGGACATCGAGGCGGGTAGAGATGGAACATGTTGCGGAGGTGGAGGTAGGCACAAGGATAAAGACAGAGATTGGAACAGGAGCAGAGACAGCGGGGTGGGCACATGCAGAGGCGAGGACGGAAATAGAGACTGATGGACATTGAGGGCAGGACACACGAGTCGTGCTCTTCACATGTTTCAAGCCCCAGTTCTTGGACTGCTCGGGCATTCGCTGAGGCGTAAGAACATAGATTATGCGTGGAGAGTGTGGAGCAGCAGGAGAAGAACGGGCACATAGGATGATAAGGTGAATCGGGATGCAGGTCTGCATTTCCTCGTGCTGCACATCCTATAAGGCAGAAGTCAAAGAAAGGATCCACAGGATCAGATGACACTGGATGGGTGAATCGCACGTCGAGTGGAGGACCTCGCTTTTTGGAGCCATGCTGAGCGGCGTCCAAAGACCGTATGAAGCGGAGGAGCGCGCACGCTATGAAGCGAAAAAGTGGTTTGACGTTGCTTTACGTTTGAACTCCGCTTTTGTGCCCGCCAAGCCGATTGCTCTCCAATGGACACGGTGCGACGTAGCAGCGAGGAGCACAGTGTACATGTTGTGCCTTCCATCGCAGGCCCCCGCTCGTGAAAGGTAAACGCGCCAGCGCCTCGCGTGAATCACTGCGCCTACCTTCCGTTCATACTCATTTGGCGTTCCCTTCCGCATTTGTTCTAGCACGCTTCCATCATGTCCGCTGTGTCGGCGAGTACGAGCACAGCTGCCCTGGGCAGGCGCTGCCGATTCGGACCAGGCGGTTCCTTGTGCACCCTGGAGCTTACAACGGGGCCCGCACTTCCCATTCCGAATCCTCATCACGACATGATGCTGCGCCTCTCCGCGCGGGGAGTGCATTCAGCGGCCTGCCCCTCAGCGCAGAACGGTGAGAGTCAGGAGGACCAGAGCAAGTCCGGGATGCAGCGAGGATGTTGCGATACACCCGTCCGTCTCAAGTGTTATGATGTTCCAACCTACTTTAGCCTTGATCACCAGAAAGAATTTCGAACACCAGAAAAGTACCCAAAAATTTGAGAGGTTTCACGAGTCGGGCCCTGGGAAATACTCGCCCGACACTATTTCCACACTGTTTCGACACTCTTTCGACACTTTTCTGGGTGCTCGGAATTATTTCTGGGATGTGGTCCTTCAGTACGATGGGAGCAACATAGCCCAAGCCCCTTTTCCGCTTGAGTCATCAGAAGGTGTTTCCACAGTGCTCCCTTCCGCTGCGGGAAGCATTGAGGTTGATCGACGCGCGCCCCGTTGGCCTGCCATTCGGGCAAAGCCCCGATGTGTAAAGGAAGCCATCCACCATCCTCCTAGCTTTATATATATATATATATATATGTATAAGAAGAATAAGAAGAAGAAGAAGAAGGAAAGACAGAAAACAAACAAGTTTGACGAAAGATGAACCCTCCATCCGTCTAGGGTCCAGGTGTTGCACGACTGCCTTGAATTCGTTGGTCGTAACAGTTGCCGAGCTCCCATGGGAAAGTCCAAATTTGACAAGGATCCGCCTTCCATTTGTGTAATCGTTGCACGGCTTGGAGGTGGGGTCATAGAGTTTGCAAAGGTTTCAAGCGAGAGCCCCATCTTAAGAACGAACCGGCTTCCATCATTGGACATGAAGGATATTCTACACGCTTCGCGTAACCCCACCAGCTCGGCCTCCACTGGTGACCGTTTGGGTTCAGTGGGGTCTCGCTACGCTGCCGTCTTCGTCGGTGCAAGGAATTAGGCATGTGTGGCTTTGTGCGCCCGTCGGCTGCTTTCTCCTACATGGACTTCGCTTTCGACATGTGCCACTGCTGTACAAACAAGAGGTTTTGCCGTTTGCACTCCTGTCTGTGACGAGGTTGCCCTTCTTTATTTTTGCACTGACACGATGCAGTTGTGTCGCCTACGGCACGGACGTCGTCCAGGTGTGCCTGCCGGTCCTGCTCGTATGTGTTGGGCCTTGTGCCGATTCACACCGAGTGATCGACCTCTGCGTGTTCATGGTCGCGCCGCCGCGCCATTCTGGCCGCGCGCTCGCTTCGCTTGCCTTTTTTTTCTTGTTGCCTAGTCGCGGCCCGGCTAGTGTTCGGACGGCTTTCGACCTGCTTCGCGAGCCCGCAGACCGAAAAGTACCCCCACCAGCCCATCCAGAAGTGAAGCCCAGAGGAATTGCCTCGATCAGGGAAGTGGGCAGCACACAGAGGAAGGGTCCCCTAGTGGAGTCCTCAGGCCTCTTGGAGCGTCTTGGGTGCCTCGGAGAGTTTCTTGGGGCCTCTTGGGGATCTCTTGGGAGCATCTTGGAGGCCTCTCGGGCGCCTGTTGAGGCCTCCTGGGCGCCTCTTGGGGCCCTCTTGAAGCGTTCTTGGGAGCCTTGGGAGCGCTCTTGGGTCCATCTGACAGCAATAACAACACAAATGCAGTTTGCGATCCCTTCCAAGAGGGGTTAATTCCAGAGTTAACATGTTTAACGGGATTTCCTGCCAGAGGGTTAATTTTGGAGTAAACACGTTTAACGGTATTTCCGGTCGGAGGGTTAACTCAGGAGTAAATTTGTTTTACGCAGTGGCCACCGAGAGGTCAACATTGGCTTAAGCGATTATGAGTTTGATCGGCATGGAAGCGCAGCGGCCCATAAGCCTTCTAAGTCGGTTGGCAAGGACGCTAGAAGGCCTTGAGAGTCCCCGAACAGGTGTTCTAGATGCCCACAAGAGATTCCCAACATGCTCCCGACTGATTCAAACTGATTAATGTCCTCTCTCCTTCGTAATTGAACTAGTCGATTGGTTCCTCCTGCCAAGGAGGCCCGAAGACGCCAAGAGAACCATGTCCAATGAAGGAGGCGGAGAGGACATGTGATGATGGTGAGCATGATGATGTTGATGCTGATGCGGATGATGATGGTCTTGATGGTCTTGATGCCGATGACGATGACAATGCTGATTGTTCGGAAGGGCGTTATGGCACTACGGTGATCCCACGACCCCCTGATGACCACCAAGACGACTCTAAGACGGCCCTTCGCACCCGTGACGATCACAGGGTGACCCCGAGACGGCCCCAATGAGATCGTCAATGGCGAGAGGGCCCCATCACCTTGTGGCTGGCCCTAAGGCTACCCCGGGACAACAGTATCAACCCCATGACGATCCCAGAGCGATATCAGGACCCTAAGGCGACCCCAATATAACCCCAATGTGACCCTCCAGCGACCTCAAAATGACCCCGACGCGACCTCTGCATATGATCTCAAGGCGCCCCCAAGATGTTCCCGAATCGACCTGATGGCCCCTTTCGACGAACCCGAGAGAACCACCCTCTGACCCGCAAACAACCCCAACGCGATCTCCAGCAAAACCCGGCACGGCCGCGGATTGTTTAACAAGGCCGCGGCGCTCAAGGCCATAAAGTCCTTGGACCGCCGAGGAGCTTCCAGGCGACAGGTTCGGTCATTCTGCACCCCTCGCTCTCCATCTCTCCCTCCCCTTTTCATGTTACGTGTTGTTGGTGTTATTGTTGTTGTCATATACGCATGTACTGATATCATTATCTGTATCAGTCGCTCTCTCTCTCTCTCTCTCCATCTCTCTCTCTCTCTCTCTCTCTCTGCACGCCTTTTCCCTTTCATCTATAGATAGGTTTGCATGCGAGTTGCGTTGAATGTCTCCCTTCCTCGAGGTTTATGTTTATACGCTCTCTTTCTCTTGCTCTGTTTCTCTCTCTCTCTCTCTCTTTCTCTCTTTCTGTGTATATTGTCGTTATCTCTCTTTCTCTCTCTTTCTCTCCCTCTCTCTCTCTCTCTGTTTATCTCTCGCTATGCGTTTGTCCTTCTGTTTCGGTCTCTCTCTCTCTCTCTCTCCCTCTCTCTCTCTCTCTCTCTCTCTCTCGCCGCAACACGCAGCTCGGCACCTCGGGCCAACCAACGTGCCCAGACTGCGGCCGCAGCGGACTGCGTACACTCATGGACTGGTCCACGGACTACTCGTGCAACAGTTGGACGTGTGCATACAGCACCAACAACAGGGACTCCGACACATGCTGCCTG